AGACCCACAGAGACCCATACCCATAGAGACCCATACAGACCCACAGAGACCCATACTCATAGAGACCCATACAGATACATAGAGACCCATACTCAGAGACCCATACAGACCCACAGAGACCCATACTCATAGAGACCCATACAGACCCACAGAGACCCATACTCATAGAGACCCATACAGACCCACAGAGACCCATACTCATAGAGACCCATACAGACCCACAGAGACCCATACAGACCCACAGAGACCCATACAGACCCACAGAGACCCATACAGACCCACAGAGACACTCATAGAGACCCTACCCATACAGACCCACAGAGACCCATACTCATAGAGACCCATACAGACCCACAGAGACCCATACATACCCATACAGACCCACAGAGACCCACAGAGACCCATACAGACCCACAGAGACCCATACAGACCCATACAGACCCACAGAGACCCATACCCATACAGACCCATACAGACCCACAGAGACCCATACAGACCCATACAGACCCACAGAGACCCATACAGACCCACAGAGACCCATACAGACCCACAGAGACCCATACAGACCCACAGAGACCCATACAGACCCACAGAGACCCATACAGACCCACAGAGACCCACAGAGACCCATACAGACCCACAGAGACCCATACTCATAGAATTTGATTCCCTTTCACGGCCACAATGGGCCCGCTGAGGCTACACCGGCTGTAACCCCCCTCCTCCTCCCCTCCTCCTCCTCCTCCTCCCTCCTCCCCTCCTCCTCCCCCTCCTCCCCTCCTCCTCCTCCCCTCCTCCTCCTTTTGTCTTCGTCTGAAACCACGTGCAGATCCTGGGCATGCCCCCGACAAAGATGGTGGACGAAGCCCCTAACAGGACACTTTACTTTGGTGAGTCGAAGGCTCGGGCAGGCTGGCGTGTGAGTGAGCGGGTGGATGGGTAGGTGAGTGGGGGGTGGGTGAGTGGGTGATGGGTGGGTGGGTGAGTTGGTGGGTGAGTGGCTGGGTGAGTGAGTTGTTGGGTAGGTGAGTAGGTAGGTGAGTGGGTGGGTGAGTGAGTGGGTGGGTGAGTGGGTGGGTGAGTGAGTTGTTGGGTAGGTGAGTAGGTAGGTGAGTGGGTGGGTGAGTGGGTGAATGGGTGGATGAGTTAGTTGTTGGGTAGGTGAGTAGGTAGGTGAGTGGGTGGGTGGGTGAGTGAGTGGGTGGGTGAGTGAGTGGGTGGGTGGGTTAGTTGGTATGTAGGTGGATAGGAAGGTGGGTAGTTAAGGGGATGAGTGGTCAAATTACTTTGGTGAGTCGAAGGCTCGGGCAGGCTGGCGCCAGCGACGTAACCCATTCCGTCTTGTTAGCTGGGGTGGCAGGGAGGCTCTTATAGGGTTCATTTGTGGGGGGGGGTTGGGGGGGGGCTGGGGGGGGGGGTCTCTGAATATGCCGGAGGTGGGGGGTGGGGTGGGGTTTGGGGCTTTCTGTAGCGGTCGCTAGGAAGCATAGGTGGGTGTGTGTGAGCAGGTGGGTGTGTAGGTGAGTGGGTGGGTGAGTGGGTGGGTGAGTGGGTGGGTGAGTGGGTGAGTGGGTGGGTGAGTGAGTGGGTGGGTGGGTAGGTGATTGGGTGGGTGGGTTAGTGGGTGGGTAGGTGAGTAGGTAGGTGAGTGGGTGGGTGAGTGGGTGGGTAGGTAGGTGGGTGGGGAGGTGAGTGGGTGGGTGAGTGGGCGAGTGGTTGGGTAGGTGAGTAGGTAGGAGAGTGGGTGGGTGAGCGAGTAAGATAGTGGGTGGGTGAGTTGGTATGTAGGTGTATATGAAGGTGGGTAGTCAAGTGTCTGACTGGGTATGTGGGCGACGTGTTGGCGGGTGACTCTGCGTGTGTCTCTCTGCAGACCCTGAGGGTCTCCCCTACAACGTGTCCCAGCAGAGGCCACCTGGCAGCCTGTCCCTGCACCGCGCACTGCAGGGACACCACCCTCAGCTGGTGGACTTTGTCAGCCGCTGCCTCCAGTACGAACCACACTCACCCCTCGCTCACCCCCACTCACTCATCCCCACTCACTCGCTCACTCACTCATCCCCACTCGCTCACTCACTCACCCCCACTCACTCACTCACTCACTCATCCATCCCCACTCACTCACTCATCCCCGCTCGCTCACCCCGCTCGCTCACCCCCGCCCGCTCACCCCCGCCTGCTCACCCCCGCTCGCTCATCCCCACTCACTCTCATCCCCACTCACTCACTCATCCCCACTCACTCACTCATCCCCACTCACTCACTCATCCCCACTCACACTCATCCCCACTCACTCACTCACCTCCGCCCGCTCACCCCCGCTCGCTCACCCCTGCCCGCTCACCCCGCCCGCTAACCCCCGCTCACTCACTCACCCTTACTCACTCATCCCCACTCACTCACTCACCCCCGCCCGCTCACCCCCGCTCGCTCACCCCCCCGCCCGCTCACCCCTGCCCGCTAACCCCCGCTCACTCATCCCCACTCACTCACTCACCCTTACTCACTCATCCCACTCACTCACTCACTCACCCCCACTCACTCACTCAACCCCACTCACTCATTCATCCCCACTCACTCATCCCCACTCACTCACTCACTCATCCCCACTCACTCACTCACTCACCCCCACTCACTCATCCCCACTCACCACCCCACACCTGTCAACCCCTTATCAGTGCCCTACCTTACTACAGACCCAACTCAGACCTTTATTGATCACTCCGTGATCCTTACACATCTCAACGTACATCCTGCAAAGTCCCATCACAAGGAACAAACACTAACAAATAGACACAAACATTCTTGTCGTTACCCAGCATTTAAACGGCTACACTCTGTATAACCTGACAACTCAATCTCTCTGCACAAGAACACGGAATAAACCGTGCGGATTGACAGCTCTGCCACCCACTCACCACCCACCACCACTCCCCCCCCACCCTCTCCATCTCCCCACTCTCCCCCACCTCCCACCCTGTCACATCTTCTCACCTTGCCCATGTCACCGCGTGTGCGTCTCCTGCCACCACCAGATGGGATCCCAATCTCCGGATGACGCCTGAACAGGCGCTGGCTCACAGCTGGCTACAAACCACCCGAGCCACCACCACCAGGGCCACCACAAACCATCCGGGGCACCCCCACCACCAGCAGGGCCACCACCACCACCATCAGAGCTACCCCCACCACCATCCGGGCCACCACCACCACCATTAGGGCCAACCCCACCACCAGAGAGACCACACCCACCACCACACCACCCGCAGCAGGGCCACCACTACCATCAGGGCTACCCCCACCACCCCCATCACCACCACCATCAGGGCCACCCCCACCACCACCACCATCAGGGCCACCCCCACTGCCACCACCACCACCATCAGGGCTACCCGCACCCCCATCAGGGCTACCCCCACCCCCATCAGGGCTACCCCCACCACCGCCACCACCCGGGCCACCACCACCACCTGGCCCGACACCACCAACTGGGCCACCACCCACCACCACCATCAGCAGCAGCACCACTCCAGTGCAGGACTCTGCAGCTGCTGAGCCACGGTGAGCCTCTCTCTGTGTACCTCGCCTGGTACGCAGGAGGTCGTGGGTTCGATCCCGACCCTGATGAGATGTTAACT